TCAATGGTACAGTATATTTTTCAAGTAGTGGTACCCCAAACTTTCGCAGCTCTTATAAATTCCCCCTTTTCACACCATCAATAGGTAAACTCCCCCCTCCCCCCTTTCCCCCCCCCCCTGCGCCAAACTGCGAGTCCACCAGGACGTACACCACCTCTTTCCTAAAATCCGCCAATCAAATGCTAATTTTTATGCTACTTTCTTTGTCAGAACACCTTGTTTGCTCGCACACAGGTCCGATGTCTGAGCGTGGTTATGTTTCGCTAAATTTTCCTGTTTGATGAGTACTAGGTGCCTCGGTGAATGTATATGCTCTAACTTTAACATAGCTATTTCTGTGACCAGTTACAAGCTAATCACTCAGCTATTTCAATGCTAAATTCGATGCTAATTTCTTTGTCAAGGGGTACCTCTGCGGATGTGTATACTTTAACTTAGCTATTTCAATGAGCCATTTCAATGCTAAATTATATGCTAATTCCTTTGTCAAGGCACTTAGCCTTTTTCTTCTCACACAGCTTAAAGGTCGTGATCTAAGCGTAGCTTCTTCCACTCCAGTGCTAATTCCTTTGTCAAGGGGTACCTCTGCAGATGTGTATACTTTAACTTAGCTATTTCAATGAGCCATTTCAATGCTAAATTATATGCTAATTCCTTTGTCAAGGCGCGTGGTCTTTTTCTTCTCACACAGCTTAAAGGTCGTGATCTAAGCGTGGCTTCTTCCACTCCAGCGCTGTCCTCCAGACAGTCTCGTCCCTTCACCTGATGAAGGCCGCTTGTGTTGTGGCCGAAACGTCGTGATTTTTTGTTATTTTATTTTCACCTACGTGACTTTACCCAATAGAACCAAAGAGCACTGACCCACTCACCCACCCACTCACCCACTCATCACACTGCAGGTCACCTCACCTATCTTTCCGCTTCTTCCCGTGGCACTGCTCCACTGTGGAATTCCCTCCTCCCATCACTGCCTCTCATCCCACGAACCTCTCACAACAAATCGCCCGCCCAATCGCAAAAGCCGTCTCAGACGCACCTCTCATCGACTCCTTTTTCAACGGCGCTGCTCGCTCGCGGGCCCAGCTTGCCGTTTAGGGCCTTCCGTGGGCCTCTGTCCTCGGCACACCGCGAGAGCGGAGTCGAGCGAATGGGCGAGGAAGGATCCCTCCCGAGGGTGATGAGCGAAGGGCCAGCAGCGACCCCCTCCCCCCCCCCCCCCCCCACCGTCAAGTCGCGCACGCACGCACGGTCTCGCTTTGCTCGTCACAAAATTCAAAATCTTTCGCCAGCGCCCCCCCCCGCCAACCCCCATCGTATCGACGAAGGCAAACCGCTGCAACGTGAACGATTCAAAGCGACGCGGTCATGAAATTGAAAAACACTCAAGAACTTGGAAACGGTTTCTGCGGCTCAAAACGCGCCGCGAGGTCGCGAGGTCACGTGTCGCGAGGTCGCGTGTCATGAGGTCACGTGTCGCGTGGTCCGTTGCGGCAACTTGGGAGCCACTGCCGGCCGACGCGCGATCGCAATTTCACCCCCCACCCCCTTCCCCGCCCGTGGAGTTTGGAATCCTCCCGTGGGGTCAGAATGAAAGTGTCATCGTTGTACTACACGGACGGTCCCCCTGCTTTGACAACGTTACAACACGTTCCTGGAATAAATAAATAGAAGTCCCGCCGTCAATGTGATCGTCGTATAATCGGACCCCTCGTTTTGCCCCACAGGACGGCAGAAGCAGTAGGAGCATCGGTTTCATACGGAGCAGTAGCAGTAGGCTTTTGCGAACAATATTATCTCCATATATATAAAGGGGAAAGTTGTGAATTTGTGTGTTTGTTCAAAATCTTTAGTGTACTTCCCGACATGCAACAAACTTGAAATTTGCCATGTGGGTACTTTCCAGACTGTACACCATGCAAAAATTATAAAAATACACTTTTGGTTTTTTTGGGGGGGGGGGGGGGAGCTCAATAATGCAGATATTTTTTGCACGGCTAGTGAGCTGTGATGTCAAATCTGTCACGTGACCCGCGCATGTGGAAGCGTAACGCATTGTAGTGTAGTGGTTAGCGCGCCGCGCTACGAACCCGGCGACCCGAGTTCGATTCCCGCTCACGACCACCACCGGTGACGGTTATTTTTACTTTTCCTGGGCCTCCCCTAGGTGGACTCAGCCTCAAACGAGTAACTGCTCTGCTGTGTGAACATCGCCACTGGGGAGACAAAGGCGGCGGGCGAAGCCGGGTAGTACAGCAAGTCCATAATAAAGGCGGTTTATTTTTGGGTTAGATCGCGTAAAAATAAATGTGTGTGCGCGAAACGTCACGGGACTCGAATTTTAAATGTCGTGGGTTTACTCTCTAACACACAACTGGTTAGTGCTGAACTAGTGACGAATTGGCGCGTTCTGTTTACGTGACAACCCTTACTCGTTGGCCGTGTCGGGTGGTGGTGGGTTTAACGACACATTTATATTGTTAAAAAAGAAAAAACCTTTACGAGTAGAAACATCGCTTGCCGGTGGGTGTTTTTTCTCTCTCTCTCCCTTTTATCTGGCCGAATTTAAGCGAGCTAAAGAGGTGTAAAAAAAAAAAAAAATCCACGCAAACGCTCGACAATAACGAGAAAGCTGCGTGTCCGCGCCACGTCGCAAACCCGGATCGACTCCGTTCAAATTCGTTCCGAATCGCGTTGGGAGATGCGTCGTAAATCGATCCGCGCGGCATCGTGCAGAGAGGTATTACTGGATGTGGTTGTGTCGGATTAACACTAAGCCCCGTTAACAATACTTTTTTTTAAGCGTAATGACATCGACCAATCACGACTCTTCGCTTAACGCACAACTATTTGACACGCTACGGCGCGACCGTGGGGTGGGGAACGCCAGATTGTCTGCAAGGTTCGTGTCAAGGCCACGGGGTCGACGCGGGGAGCGAAGGGGGGGTTTCGTCAAGAGCAATCATTGACGACCATCATCACCAGCCAATGATTATAATCATAAATGACAACCGTCGGTGCAACGGGGAGGGTGAATGGAGCGCGGTGACATTTAACTGGGGCACCCAGTCCAATTCACGCCCCCCCCCCACATCACCACCGCCTGCGTGCACGATGGAAACGCCACAGAGATTACGGGAGGCTGAGAAGGGTGTTGGCGTGGTTACGAAAACACACACACAGGGGTCATGGTGACTCGGTGTGGCTGTCGCAGCGCGGTTCAGCAGAGATTTGCACCCTGGGTGTTGGTGTGCCACTGGGGAGACAAAGGCGGCCGGGCGTGGCACTGGCCACCCACCCCCTCGTGCACCGTGCCGGGCTTCGCTAACAGCACTTGCCCCAACAGTCTGTTAAAGGCTACAAGGGCCAACAGCACTTGCCCCAACAGTCTGTTAAAAGCTATTCGGGGGAATCTTTGTCATTTGCGTGCGTCTTGAGTGTGTGCGCCTGTTAACGCTATATAGGTGGTCGTCAACAGCACCTGCTGTGTGCGAGTGTGAACGAGGGAGTGTGTGTTTGTGTGCGCGGGTGTGTGTTTCAGGAAAGGGCGGTCCTGCACAGATGCCATATTTTCTGTCCGTCTGCTACAGCAGAGGTGTAGGGAATTCCAACAAAACCTACATCTCTGCTTTATTGACCTGGTCAAGGCCTATGATACCATCAGTAGGCCTGGGCTTTGGGTCGTTCTTCGTGCTTTTGGAGTACCTGACCCTCTGCTCACGATCATTAAGGACCTTCATGATGGTGAGCGGGCCCGGGTAAAACTACGTGGCCGGGAGTCAGAGCCATTCCCTGTACACCTTGGGGTGCGACAGGGATGTCATCTGGCTCCCACATTATTTAACATCTATTTTGACCACGTAGTTCGTGAAGCCTTCAATAGCTGTACCGGAGGAATCTCCATATGGTACAGATATAATGGGAGGCTAATCGATGCCCGGGTGCGGTCAAGGGATGGCTCCCTATTGCTCAACCACGTTATGTATGCTGATGATTTGGTAATAGCTGCTCAGTCAGAGGAGGAGTAGGAGACGCTGCTGCTGAGACTGGAGCGTGCCACTAAGAGGTGGGGCCTTACCATCAGCCCCACCAAAACTAAGCACCTGCCTGGGTATTTTGTACCATCGGACACTCCACCCCCACAACTCCCAATCGGTGGTGGGGCAGTTGTGGAGAGAGTGGAGAGTTTCCCATACCTGGGCAGTGTGCTTATGACTGGCTCCAGTTTAACAGCAGAGGTCTCACTCCGAATCAGTCGAGCGGCAATATCTTTTCATCGGTTGCGTAACGCTGTGTGGAAGCTACCTGGTCTGTGGCTCCGCACTAAGCTTCAGGTCTTCTCGGCCACGGTCATTCCCTCCCTTCTCTACGCTTGCGAAACGTGGACCCCCCTAATGGAACATCTTCGCCGGTTAGAAACATTTAGGCTGGCCTGCCTACGATCCATCCTGGGTTTAACCAGACTGGATTGTGTGAGCTCACAAATCCTTGAAAGATCTGGGCAAGGTCCCATCGGTGAGCTCCTCCGGCGGGCAAGGCTGCGATGGCTGGGTCATGTAGCCCGCATGCCCAGCCAACGCATGCCGAAACAGCTTTTGTTCGGCCGGATTGAGGGGGCTAAGCGGGCGCGGCACGGGCTAGAGAAGAGATGGAGTGATGTGGTACAGGAGGACGTGGAGCTGAGTGGACTTGCCGATGACTGGTACCAGCGGTGTCAAGATCGGCCTCTGTAGAGGAGGCTCGTGAAGGATGCTACTGGGCAGTTGGAGGTAGTCGCCCTCCAACAACAACGGAGGGCGGAGGAGCGACGCTCAGAACAACGAGCGGAGCGCCGGGTGACTAAAGCACAGCAGGTTGGCACAGTAGGGGGCACAGGTGGTGCATCAGCCAGTCATCTCAGTCAGTCGACCCGTGGCACCTGGGTCTGCCCCGTGACCTCCTGCCAGCGGGCGTTCGACACTTCACGTGGCCTCAGGGTGCACATAGCCTGGCACAAGCGTCGTGGTGATGTCACCGCCACTTAGTGGCGAATGGTGTTGTTGTTGTGTTTGTGCGCAAGTGTGAACGACGGGGTGTTTGTGTGCGAGTGTGTGCGCCAGTGTGTACGGCATGTATGCGTGAGGAGCACGTGTGTGTGTGTGTGCGTCCAAGCCTGTGCGGTGAGCGGTAGCGTCGCCGTTAGCGGGCTGCGATACGAACACCGCCACCCGAGTTTGATTCCCGCTAGTGACCAATAACAGTGGAAAATATGCGAACTGGTCCTGTGCGTCCCCTAGGTCGACTCAGAGAGACCGGTACCATGTGTAAATATCAGCACTGGGGAGATAAAGGCGGCCGGGCGTAGCTTTGGCAACTCATCCCGTCCCGTGCCGACCTTCACAGGGCCTACTTGCGAACAGCACTTGGCCAAACTGGCTGCTAAGGCTATACGGGAACCTTTTGTCTTTTGCAAGCGTGCGAGTTTCCCCGTGCGAGAGAGAGCGAGTCAAAGTTCAAAATTCCGGACAAACATTGGCACTCATCTCATCGGGACTGTCATAATCATCTTTGTTGCCAGCAGACAATGGCATCTACAGATGCCTCTCTCAGACAGGGCTGTATTAAGCTCCTGCGCAATACTTCACCCCCGTATTACAAAATAGACCGATTCGGCCACCACTCTTCAGCCTTGGGTCATTCCATTGTCATTTCACAGATGGGGGGGGGGGGGGGGAGTATAGGGGGTGGGATGAGGGGGGGGTCCAAGTGTCACACAGCAGCACGAACACTTTGGAACATTCCATTTCACACACTGGGGGTGTGACGGTATACGATTTAAAAAATATCAGCATTTATAAAAAAAAAACACAGAGCGGAATAATATATCGTTATACCCCGAGGATTGCGATCAGGTCCGTGCGTCCCGTTTCGGAGCGCGCCATTAATGTCGTCTTCATGGGGGGGGGGTATTTGTCACGGGACGTTGTCCCCCCCCCCCCCCACTGCCCCCCCCACCAACCGCGTTGGAGTGGAGGGGGCAGCAGTTGGTGGCGCAGACGCGTCAGTGGGACACCGGCGAAGCTCCCTGTGCCATGATCGAGGGCGCAAACTCCTCGCCGCCACCGCCATCGTAAAACCCCTCTTCCGTGAAGGTCATGGCCTTCGTCTCCTCCTCCTCCCCTTCCCCCCCTTCCTCCTCCCCCTGCTCCATCATCTCGCGATCGTGGCCGCCGCCGCCGCCGCCGCATCCTCCCGCTGCCGCCGTCTCCATGGCGACCGGCGGGGGGCCCCCATCCTCGCCGTTGCCGCCGCCGACGTCGTCGTCGTCGTCGTCGTGGGGTTCCTCTTTCACCCGCGCCGAGTGCCTGGACAACAAAAAAAATAAAAATTGTCAAGAGGAAGAAGCGCCTCAATGCAGGCGCCGTGGATCCCGCAACGCCTCTCGGACGAGCGTCGGTCCTCGGCAACGGTTGCATCTTTGACCCGAAGCTTTCGTGACCGCGGGGAATTCATAATCTTTGGGTCTTTCGGTAAAAGTGGCGTCAAGAGGTTCAAAGAAAATAACAAAAAAAATAACAACTCAAAACTACGACGTTTCGATCGCAACACGAGCGTTCTTCCCGATGACGAACTCTTGGTGCCGCGATAGAAACGTGGTAGTTTTTTTTTGTTACTTTCTTTTGAACCTACCTACGTGGCTTTACCGAAAGGCCCAGAGAATCACGGATGCAACGGCGATCGCGCGTGACGACCGTTCGGCGTGTGTGACGTCGCTGCAGCGGCCGCCGAAGATAAGACGCTCTGCGCCGGTCTTTTTGTTTTGCTATCACAGAGTTTTCGGGCATCGATGAAGCGTAGATCACATCGGACCATCTTTGGTGACCCCCCCCCACCCCCTGCTAGAGGGCGGACGGAAAGACGGACAGAGCCAACGGATGGGACAGACGGACAAAGCCAATCAATGGCCAAAAAATTTCACAAAATTATTACTGAGCTAAGAATGTCTGTTTGTGTGTAACGCACGTGACGTCACTCCACATGCCGTACCCCCCCAACCCCCCATCATTAATATTCATGAGCGGGTGGATTTTTACACTCGCGCAGAAGGTCGAGCAGAAATACAAATGTTTTTGCAAATCCGCATTGAGTTTGACGTTTCTTTATTGAAAGTGAATCTAATAAATAATTCTACGCAGCAACAAAGTGGATTTGGTGTCTTTATTTATTTCTTCAGCACTTTAGACAAAAGGTCAGTCTAATTTATGCTTCTACATTATGGTAAAATAGACATTTCTCGGTGATTTTCCAGATATTTGTATCGAATTCCAATTCATTTCAACCCCAGCGACCGAAAGAAAAAGAGAATAAAGTATCAGAGCAGTGAATTTGAACAAATTGAAGGTCATATTCTTGGTTCTTTCGGTAAAGTCACGTAGAAGGGAAACAATAAAATAATTAAAATATAAAACAATAAAATTCTCACGACGTTTCAACTGCAACACAAGCAATCATCATCAGGTGTGAAAACAACAGCAATACATTTTATTATTATTTTATTGTTTCCCTTCTACGTGACTTTACCGAAAGAACCAAGAATATGAATCCTTGCAGTCACGAAAGCTTTAAATCAAAATTGAAGGTCAGTTTATATACAGTGCTACAGTGACTTGAAGTGAGGTGTTTTATGGCGTCGTTTTGTGCAAGAATCACTGCCATTAGTAGTGTTACAGTGAAATGCAATGAAGTGTTTGATGACGTACTTCTGTGCAAGATTCACTGGCATTAAATTTACACAAGACACCATTATACTCTGCTCAAATTTTGTCCGTCAATATTACAGCTTCCGTCCAAGGACGGGCAAACAAGCTAGTGAAAATATAAAAGCAGAAGGTATTTACTCATTATTACTGGAGCAGTGGCACGACTACATTTCATTTCCCGGCCAAAGCTAACATCAGCGGCGAGTGACATCTGAACCGATTCTGGACTGGGTCTCTCTCTCGCCCTCCTTCACCTAATCCAGTGACCACGGCGGCGAGATGTTAACTGCCTCGCTTGGTACGCAGGTGGCCATGATTTAGACGCAGACTCCGACGCCTGTACATATGGAGTTTGCATGTCTCCCTCTTCCCCATGGTCACGTGTGTTTTTTCAAACGGTGCTCCGGTTTTCTCCTCCCCATTTAGAATCGATGCGGCTGCTGTAAATGTCCACGTGATGACGAGCCACTTGGTCGCGCTATCATTCGTGGTCGATTCTGCAAAAGAGCTACATAGCTCAGTGGGGCCTTGCATGTTAAAATGTTAATCGTTTAGTTTTAGACCAGCTCCATCACGCTGCACCTACATTCGACGTTTAAAAAATAATTAAATCAGGGAGGTGGCCGGGAGGCGGTTCAGAGGTCAGAGATGCCGAGCAAGCAGCGCCAAATATCATCCCGACAACCGCTCGTGTGATTAAACCGAGTTTAATGCCATTAGGCAAAATTCTGGTGACTAAAAATATCGGTTGGACTGTCACGCAGCCAAAATCCCACCTGGGTGGCAGGGCGAGAGTAGGAAAGTGCTGCCCTCTACTGAGTGTGGACAAACGGTCACTCGAAGGGATCTCTGATACCTGCTGTATATTTGGAGTTTGCATGGTTTTCATCGTGGTGGTGTGGATTTTTCTCCGGGTCCTCTGGTGTTCCCCTCCACATTTAGAATCAACGTGCGCTCAGAGTAATTGGCTTCTATCAATTTCCACGCCATCAGCCACTTTCGCTGATCTATCATTTGCGGCCAAATCGCTTCTGAAAAAGAGCTGTATAGCTCAGTGGGCCTTACCTGGCGACATGAAGACAGTTTAGTTTTTGCAACACGGAGATTGCACCGCTCTGCGGCTGCCCCCCGCAGGGGCTTCTTCGTCTCGTGCCGACGCGACGCCGATAACAGTAACAAGTGGCACAAAGTTGATCGGAAGAAATCAACAGCAACAACAAAAGCAGCAATTCTAATCGTGTCGGATAACACCGCCGGCAGCATCGCAACGGCTCCGAAGCAGGACACGGTGCCAAAGCGCCGCCCCCCCCCCCCCCCCCCCCCACGTGTGTATGTTCAACTTCTTTCACACCGTACGTAGCCAACCGTGCTAATCGGTTGCCTACGCTATCCGCAGGCCACCCGAATGAATCTCGGCAGCAGTTCCGCGGCGTCCGCTTCCCGCGGGGCGTCGCTTACGCGAGGTGCTGCGCGACCGCCTGCTCGCCGTGCCTCTCCCAGCTCCCGCTCGTATCTCCGTGCCGGCGCTGGAAACTCTGCAGGTACTGTCGCTGCTGCTGCTGATGAAGATGATGCTGCTGCTGATGATAATGCTGCTGATGATGATGATTCTGCCGGCGCATGGGCATGTCCGGGAAGGGCTCGCAGAGTCGTCCGTCGGGGGACGAGTCGGTGTCGTAGTCGTGGGGCGAGCGGTTGGGGCTGGCGTGAGCGTCGCCCATCGAGTACGCGTCTCCGTCGCCTGCACACAAAGACAAAGGTCCCCCCTGTAGCCTTAACAGACTTTTGGGACAAGTGCTGTTAGCGTAGTGGTACCTACGGAGGCCGGCACGACACACGAGGATGTGGGCGGCCAGCACCACGCCTTAGTGGCGATGTTTACACATTGACACGTGCGCGGCGACACGTGCGCGTGGCGACACGTGCGCGTGGTGACATGTGCGTGGTGGCACGTGTACGTGGTGACGTGTGTGGCAACACACGTGTGCGTGGGGCGTGATACCCGCTCGACCGTGATTATGAATCGGCGGCGAGCGGCACCCCATGTGCCCTGTACGTCGACCCGTCCTCTATACACAGGGCCCACAGACTTACATAGGCACCATGCACCATGGATTTATTAAGTCATTATCACTGCAGTGGCGGTGGTGGCATAAGCTGCCGCTGCTGCTGCACTTGGCAGCTGTGACGCAGCGGTATGGAGGCAGCGGCAACAACAGCGAGGGATTGGTGGATCACCGCACACGCAGATGTTGTTGTGGAACTCCCTACTACCCTCGACACCCACCCGTGGGTGGGTGTCGAGGAAGTGCCGTATTACCCCGGGTGGCCAGGAGAAGGCGATACAGCGAGTGTGGACTCATCGCCATCTGTTTCCATCTGTACGGGGATCGAGCATTGCACCATCGCACAAGGTGTGGGTTTTCTCCGGTTGCTCCGGTTTCGTCCCCACGTGAATAATTATAAACACGACCCATCACTGATTGGCTGAAACACGTCTTCAAGTAAAAATTCCAATGTAGCAGCAGCAGCAGCAGCGGCGGGCAGGACCCCCCAGAAAGTAAAAATTATGATAAAATAATTGGGAAGGGAAGGTCATACCCTCGTAGACGTGGTGCCCCACCAGAGATCCTCCCATGCCGGTCAGCAGTTGGTCACCGATGTCCATCGCTCCATACGACTGTAGGGGAACAGGCGGCGAGTGCGGTGAATTTGGGGTCAGCGTGTGGAGCGCACCGCTCGGCCGTGGAGTGCTTCGGGTGGGATCTCCTCATCTAGCAACCGACACTCTACCAGCGTGGTGAAGTATGGTCAAACAACCCCTTGGGCGGATTGATCGTGCGAGGCTGCGTTGGACACTCACCGACATTCCGTTGTAATCGGCGCTGTAATTATGGCCCGACTTTGAGCTCTTCACCACCACGCTCCTGACGAAAGAAAAAAAGGTGGCGGAGAGACGAGGTGTCAACAACGGGGCTCGTAATGGCCGTGTCGGGGTCGGCACTGCTGAGGGTTCTGGGTTCGAGTCCGGGTTGTGGTCGGCCGATCGCAGTGCAAAGCGAGGCAATGGGCTCAGTACATGTTGTCTGTCGCAACTGTTCCGTTCTCGTATGTGAGAATGGGCGTGCGAGCATGCCTACGTGCGGTCGACTCTGTCTCAAATGAGTCCCTGGTGCGGTGCGTAAACATCGCCGCTGGGGAGACAAAGGCGGCCGGGCGTGGTTCTGGCCACCCATCACCCTCGTGTGCCGTGCCGGCCTTCATAGGTGCTCGCTAACAGCACTTGCCCCCACAGTCTGTTAATGTCTATATGGGGGAGCTTCAACTTTGTCTGTGTAATTATGCGGACAGCGGTGGCGTAGCGGTCAGCGCTACGAACCCAGCAGCACGATATCGATTCCCGCTCACGGCCACCAACACCGGGGACGATTATCTGAAACGGTCCTGGGCCTCCGCTCGGTCGACTCAACCTGAAATGAGTAACCCGGTGCGGTGTGTAAACATCGTCACTGGGGGGGTGGGGGGGGGAGAAAGGGCGGCCGGGCGTGGCGCTGTTGGCCACCCACCCTGCCACAGCGCCGGTCCTTCATAGGCGCCGCTACTCGCTACCACAGCAACTTGCCCCCAACAGTCTGTTGAAGACTACACGGAGCGGGGCGGGGGGGGGTGGCGGGGAGGACCGCTGTCTCTGTTGTTTGTGAGCCGCAGTAGTCACCCGGCAAGCTTGGGGGGCCGCCTCTTCTGGAACTCGCCCTCGTCCACCGTCCACACGGCGCCCTTCACGTTCTCCACGCGCACAAAGCACTTGTGCAGGCTCAGGTTGTGCCGCACGGCATTCTGGGACAACACACGCGCGAGCACGCGCAGCTCAGGCGTCAGGGTCAGCGGTAGGGTCAGGGTTAGGGGTAGGATCAGGGTTAGGGGTAGGGTCATGGTTACAGGTAGGGTCAGGGTTTGTTAGGGGTAGAGTCAGGGTTAAGGTTAGGGTTAGTTTCTGGGTTTAGGGGTAGAGTCAGGGGTAGCGTCAGGGTAGGGGTAGAGTCAGGGGTAGGGTCAGGGTGAGGGGTAGAGTCAGGGGTAGAGTCAGGGGTAGAGTCAGGGGTAGGGGTAGAGTCAGGGTTAGGGGTAGGGTCAGGGTGAGGGGTAGAGTCAGGGGTAGGGGTAGAGTCAGGGGTAGGGTCAGGGATAGTGGTAGGGGTAGAGTCAGGGTGAGGGGTAGGGTCAGGGGTAGGGGTAGAGTCAGGGTGAGGGGTAGGGTCAGGGGTAGGGGTAGAGTCAGGGTTAGGGGTAGAGTCAGGGTTGGGGGTAGAGTCAGGGGTAGAGTCAGGGGTAGAGTCAGGGTTGGGGGTAGAGTCAGGGGAAGGGGTAGGGTCAGGGGTAGAGTCAGGGTGAGGGGTAGAGTCAGGGGTAGGGGTAGGGTCAGGGGTAGAGTCAGGGGTAGGGGTAGAGTCAGGGTGAGGGGTAGAGTCAGGGTTGGGGGTAGAGTCAGGGGTAGGGGTAGAGTCAGGGGTAGGGGTAGAGTCAGGGTTGGGGGTAGAGTCAGGGGTAGGGGTAGAGTCAGGGTTGGGGGTAGAGTCAGGGTAGGGGTAGGGTGAGGGGTAGAGTCAGGGGTAGGGTCAGGCTTAGGGGTAGATTCAGAGTTGGGGGTAGAGTCAGGGGTAGGGTTAGAGTCAGGGGTAGGGTGAGGGGTAGAGTCAGGGGTAGGGTAGAGTCAGGGGTAGGGTCAGGGTGAGGGGTAGAGTCAGGGGTAGAGTCAATGAGTCAGGGTGAGGCTGTCGCGTCAAAGAAGTCGATGCTCAGGATTAGTGCCCTCACCACCGTCCACGTGGTGGCGTTGTTGCTCAAGTTCACAGCTGCACTGAGGGTTTAGTGTTCAGGGTTCATGGTTAGGGCTTTCTGGTTCACAGTTAGGGTCAATGGTTATGGGTCAATGGTTAGGGGCCAATGGTTAGGGGCCAATGGCTAGGGGCCAATGGTTACTGGATTATTGGTTCAGGGTGCAGGATTTTTAGAAAAGCCTCTGACCTTCCACGTGGCGGCGTTCTTCCTGAAGTAGGCGAAGGTCTGAGTGAACCACGTGTAGATCTCGTTGAGAGTCAGCTGCTTGTCCGGGGCCTCCACGATGGCCTGAGGGTTCGGCGTCATCACCAACACCACCATCAACACCGATAACGCGAATTGGATATAACGCGATCGAGTGAACGGAACTACGTCACGCGAGTAGTAATAAGCGGATGCGCGGCTGTCTCGGCGTCGCATTGGGATGCTGCTGGATGCCTCGAGATGCGACCCACGCGCGTCGGTCTTTGTTCAGCCTGCGTACGCATCTCACGTGTTGTGCTTTACCCTATGTTATTTATTATAACGCCATTTTTCCAAAACGCGGTGTTCTTCAGAAACGCAACTAACACGTTATAGAACGGACTGCATTATTATCACCAAAAAAATTACAAAAGATTCCCCGTGTAGCCTGTAACAGACTGTAGGGGCAAGTGCTGTTAGCGAGCAGCAGCTATGAAGGCCGGCATGGCACACGAGGGGGTGGGTGGCCAACACCACGCTCAGCCGCCTTCGTCCCCCCAGTGGCGATGTTTGCACACCGCACCAGGCACTCATTTGAGGCTGAGTCGACCGAGGGGAGGCCTGGGACCGGTTCAGACAATCGTCACTGGTGTCGGTGGCCGTGAGCGGGAATCGAACCCGTGTCGCCGGGTTCGTAGAGCAGCACGCCAACCGCTACACTACCGCTCCCCATTATTATCACCACGCGTGCACGCACCTGTCTGATGAGCGACGCGTAAGTGTACGGCGGCCGCACGTCCGTGCTCTGGTAGAAGTCGTGGCTCTTGGATACGTCTGCGGGACCATGGAGGAGACATGGGAATCGAGGCGTCACGTCCGTGGTCAGGGGGTTCACAGAATGAGAGCCGTTATTTATACGGGGTAGGAGGAATCTCATGAGCGCGGGAGGGAGAGAGAGAGAGAGCGGGCGGCGTTGGCATCCCCCCCCATGTCCTCACCGGGCAGCAGGGGGCTGGCTGCCCTCTCCACCTTCCTTCTTGCCGAACCCCCTCCTCCCCCTGCTGTCGGCGTGACGACGCATCCAGGCGTCGCCGCGACAACGGTCGCCGGGGGCGGCACCGCGGGGCAAGATGTCGCGCCCGCCTGCGGTTGCGCCAGTAGCGCTGGCAGCGCCGACGACAGCGGCTGCTGCGGCGGTTGTAGCGGCGGCGGCGGCGGCGCCGGGGGCGGCTGAGGCTGCGCCGTGGTTTTAGCTGCGACGATGCCGGCTGCGCACAGCGGCGTCCCGTAGGCGCTCGCCGCCAGAGGAGCCGCGAGGGTGGCGGGGGCCAGCGGGGTCATTGCGGGGGTCAAACCCGGGTTCAACGAAGGGGCCAGCGCCGGGGGGGTGGCCGCGAGGAGGGCGGCCGCTGCCGCTGCCACCGCTGTGGTGGTGGTGGGGGGAGGAGGAGGAGGGGTCGGGGTCCTCATCGGCTCCGTCGCCCGGCAGACGGCTGCCGTGGATACCAGGTTGAGCTGCTCGCACACGACAAATGCGACAAAGGTGGCACACTCGCAACACACAAAACACACGCGTGACACACACACACAACACACTCGCAACACACAAAACACACGCGTGACACACACACACAACGCACGCGACACACACACGCAACACACTCGCAACACACATAACACACGCGTGACACACACACACACACAACGCACGCGACGCACACACGCAACACACTCGCAACACACAAAACACACGCGTGACACACACACACACACAACGCACGCGACACACACTCGCAACACACAAAACACACGCGCGACACACACACAACGCGCGCGACACACACACAACGCACGCGACACACACACAACGCACGCGACACACACACGCGTGACGCACACAAGCAACACACGCGTGACACTTGCGGGTCTCTACGTGAGTCTATGGGTATCTATATATGAAGCGGTAACAGACCATGCGTATAGCTGTGCTGATGAACTGACACTGTAGAGACCGCGAGTCCGGAACGTCACACGCACGCCGCTTGCCCAGGGGTTTTTTTAAGAGCTGTTTGACAAGTGCCGAACCGTGCCACCATGTCCGTAACCCCACCCCACCACCGCCCAGCCGCGATGGAAGGGTCCGCTCACCGGCTGGTGATGCGGCTTCTGCTCGGGAGGCCCCACGCGGAGGTGAACCATCATGGCCTGCAGCCTCTCCCGCTCCTTCAGCAGCTGACCAACGACAACAACATCGTCGTCGTCACCACCGCCATCAAACATCGTTGCCGTTAACATCGTCGTCATCATCATCACAACCACCACTATCATTCTCACCATCATCTGTACTGCATCAACATCATTACCATCGTTGCCATCACCATCAGCATTATCCTCATCACCACCACCATAATTTCTACCATATCATCACCATCATTGCCATTATCATCAGCAACATCACCACCACCATCATCATCATTGCCATAATTGGAATTACCATCATCATCCTTTTCATTGACGTTACCATCATCAGCATTATCACCACCACCAGTCATTCTCATCATCATCTCTACTTCATCAACATCATTACCATCATTGCCATTGCCACTGTCATCATCGTCATCATCACCACCACCACCGTCATCTCTACCACATCAGCATCATCACTTCCATTGCCGTCATCAACATCATCATCTGTCGCAGCTAGCATCATCACCATCTTCATAATCCTCGTGTTCATAATCCTCGTGTTCATCATCCTCGTGTTCATCATCCTCGTGTTCCCTCTGCTTCACTGGCATTAACAATTCCATCCCTACCACACATCAAATGCCACCAGTACCATCATCGTCGTCATCACAGCGAGCACCAATTTAAAATACTAACGCTACCACAGCCATCATATTCACCGCCGCGCCACCATCTGCCGTGAATCCCGTTATCCGCGCTCTACTGCCTTACTGGCGGATTAATGGGACTCATGTTTTCGGCGGATAACGGGGTAGCTCTTCCCCCCCCCCCCCGGGTGCCGCGTGTCCTCACCTTGATCTCGAGCTGGTCCACCACCTGCATCTGCACACGGCACTGGGCGGCGCTGCGGTCGTCCAGCATGTGCTCCGTGCTCATGTGCCTGCACCGCGCACCAGCGCCATCATCGTCAGCACCATCATAGTCACCATCGGCACCAATCACCAGCGGCACCATCGGCAGCAGCATCAGCGCCATCATCGTCAGCAACATTATTAGCAGCAGCACCATCAGCAGCAGCGGCATCATTAGTAGACTCGGCACCATCATCATCAGCAACATTATCAGCAGCATCCGCAACAGCACCGTCATCATCAGTACTACGGTCAGCACCGTCAGCAACACTAGCGGCATCATTAGCAGCATCAGCACCATCGCATGATCGTCAGCACCAACAGCAGCAGCACCGTCGGCACTTTGGGCAGAATCAACGAGCCGGGGTCCATTCCGACACGATTGCTCGCGGAGCACCGGACTGATCCCTTGGCGCAATCCGCCCACGCGAACTCTACTCTGCCCGCCGACTTTGTCGCGTTGTTCGGCACTTTGTGATCGTCCGATCAATGGCGCTGAATGAAAGCACATCATCATCATTATTATTCTCCACCGCTGGACGATAGTGGCCATACCTACAGGAAGGATACCGACGCGTGGCGGACATGTGGCGGACACGTGGTGGACACGCGGTGGACGTGTGACGGACGTGTGGTGGACATGCGGCGGACACGTGGTGGACGTGTGACGGACGTGTGGTGGACGTGTGGCGGACACGTGGTGGACGTGTGACGGACGTGTGGTGGACATGCGGCGGACACGTGGTGGACGTGTGACGGACATGTGGTGGACATGTGGCGGACACGTGGTGGACGTGTGACGGACGTGTGGTGGACGTGTGGCGGACACGTGGTGGACGTGTGACAGACGTGTGGTGGACATGTGGCGGACACGCGGTGGACGTGTGACGGACGTGTGGTGGACATGTGACGGATACGTGGTGGACGTGTCACGGACGTGTGGTGGACATGTGACGGACACGTGGTGGACGTGTGGCGGACGTTCCCTCACCGCAGGAACTGCGTGAACTCCTTGAACACTCCCTCGCAGCCCGGCCACTTGCACATCCCATGGCAGAAGAGCACGTGGCTCTTGCCTCCATCCCTGGGTGGCGGGCTGCAGCAAGACAAAGGCGAAAGGTCCCCCCCCCGATGATAGCCTTCAACGTCACTTTGGGGACAAGCGCCGTTAGCGAGCGTCACCTACGAAGGCCGGCACGTCACACGAAGGGCTGGGCGGCCACCACCGTTGCCGGCCGCCTTCGTCTCCCCAGTGCTGATGGTGACACGTGGCCCTGCGCACTCGTTTGAGGCCGAGTCGATCAACACCCGCACAAATATAAAGGTCACCCGGTATAGCCTTTACAGACCGCTGGGGCAAGTGCCGTTAGCGAGCACCTATGAAGGCCGGCACGGCACCACACCCGGCCACCTCGGCCACCTCAGTGCCGATGTCTACACACCGCACCAGGTACTCGTTTGAGGCCGAGTCGACCTCGGCGAGTCCCCGGACCGGTTCAAATAATCGTCACCGATGTTTTGCCGTGGGCTGGAATCGAACTCGGGTCGCCGGATTTGTGCTGCGCCACCGCTCCCCATAACACCCACGCCCCATCACGCACATCCACAAACACCCACTCCCACGCATCAATGAAAAACTCGCACACACTCTATACACCACCGAAAAGGACAAAGACCCCCCATGTAAGCTTTTACAGACCGATGTGGCAAGTGCGGTTAGCCAGCGTCGCCTATGAAGGCCGACAAGGCACACGAGGGAGCGGGTGGGCAGCACCGCACGCGCGCACACCATCGAATAACACGCACACACTCCATCACACACTTTCACAGTCACCCACTCCCACGCAAACACACATCTTACACGCTCACTGTATTATACACACACACACACTTAAAACACTCCCACACATGCATGCATCATCACACACCACCACCACCACCACCACAAAGACAAAAATCCCCCGTGGAGCATGAAGAGTGCCGTTAGCGAGGAGCACCTATAAAGTGCGGCATGCCACACGAAGGGGTGGGTGGACCAAATACACCCAAACATATACTTCCGACACGCATCCACAAACACGCACACTCCCAGGGCACACGCGCACAAAATTACCCAGCCGCTCACGTGCACACTCACACACGCGCGCGTGTGTGTGTGTGAGTGTGTGTGTAGACGCTGTCACGTGTCGGTGTTGACGAGCTGCTTGTTTACCAGCACCGCGCGTACCCCACCCCTCCCCCGGTCCACCCACGCCGTCGCCCCGTTCCTCTTTACCCCACCAACACTATTTTTGCTCAGCAGCAGAGCCTATTTATTGCAAGTGAGTGGGTGAGTGGGCGGGCGAACGGGCGGGCGAGTGAGTGAGCGGGCGAGTGAGGGTGAGAGTGGGTGGGCGAGTGAGTGAGCGGGCGACTGAGTGTGAGAGTGAGTGAGCGGGCGACTGAGTGTGAGAGTGATTGAGCGGGCGAGTGAGTGTGAGAGTGGGCGGGTGTAGTTTGTGAGTGATTGGGTGGGTGAGTGGTTAGGTGAGTGAGTGAGTGGGTGAGTGGGTGAGCGGGTGACCGAGTGTGAGAGTGGATGGACGAGCGAATGGGCGGGCGAGTGGGTGGGCGAGCGAACGAATGGATGGGCGGGCGAGTGAGTAAGCGGGCGAGTGAGTGTGAGAGTGGGTGGGCCAGTGAGTGTGAGTGTATTGCGTGAGTGCCTAGGTGAGTGAGAGAGTGGGTGAGTGAGTGAGCGAGCGGGCGAGTGAGTGAGTGTGAGAGTGGGTGGGTGTATTGCGTGAGTGGCTAAGCGAGTGAGTGGGTGAGTGTGTTGTTGTTATGACCTGCAGTGTGCTGATTGACCACAGTGTGGATGAGACAAAACATTCGGCCTGACTTACATTTTCACACGGACACACACAGATGCACACCACCACTGAGTCTGAGGATTCAGGAGGGTCCTGCCACACTTGAACATGCTCGGGCAATTCCATTTAAAGGTTTTTAAAATAAATATGATTTCACGCATTTGTAACAAAAACTGCACAAAGAAGCGTGGAGAGAGGCGTGTGCTTGGTACTACGCTGAGAGAGGGAGGAAGAGGAACGCGTGGATTAGAGAACACACGTGGTGGGCGAATGGCACCATCATTCAGACTCTTAGGGAAAGTGAGTGGGGGACGGCAGGACGCACAGGCCAGAAGGAATGACAGACGGGCACATAGACGAACGGATGGAGAGACGGATGGAGAGGTGGACAGAAAGACAGGAGAGACGGACAGACAGAGACGCAGACAAATGGAGAGACATACGGAGGGCTGGACGGACTCAAAGAGTCGGACAACCGGGGAGTTGGGACAGTTGGAGAGACGGAGAGAGGGGAGACGGAGTGACTAATGGGGCAGACGCAGCCCCTCGCGCGAACGCTTGAAACCGTAGTTAGGAAAGCGTAAAAAAAAAAAAATCGGCTGTAGCGCGACCGCCAAACCCGACACGCGCGCTGCGGGACCTCGCGGAGTAAACACGGCGTCCGGTGTCGCCCGCTTGTCGCAAAATTACCTCCCCCGGCCCACACCGCCCGCCACCCCCGCCCGCCCGAACCGTTAATTGAGACGGTAGCCTCGTGCGTTACGAGTCGCTTAGCCTCGCCGCTCAGGGGTCAGCGGGGGTCAGCAACCGCCGCTGCCGAGAGAACGAGTCGCCTCGGGGATTTTCACACTCATTCATTCATTCCTCGTGCACAGGACAGCATTCGCATGAACTGCTCTCGCTGCCATACACCGGTGTCTTGGGCGATTTGTTCGATCCACGGATCACGGGGCGGGGTGACCACGGTGGCGGCACCAATCCAGTCCAGCAACTGGATTGTCATGGGATTGTACAAAGGCAAAGTTCCCCCCGTGCGGTGTCGCTCGCACGCTGTCGGGGCAAAGTGCTGTTAGCTGGCGCCTGTGAAGGCCAGAAACGGTGGGGCCAGCACCACGCCCGGCCACCTTGTCTCCCCAGTGTTGATGTTTTTACACGCCGAAATAAGCACCCATTTAAGGCCGAGTCTGGCAGCATGTCTAAACAAATTTTATTTCTATTTTACCAGGTGAGGCCCACTGAGCCATGTAGCTCTTCTTCAGAAGTGACCTGGCCACTAATGATAGCTCAAAGAAGTGGCTTATCATGCAGAAATGTATAGCAGCACGTTGATTCTCAATGTGGAGGTAAAAACCGGAGGACCTGGAGAATAATTCACGCGACCTACGGAGAAAGACACATGCAAACTTCAAATATACAGGGGTCGGGATCGAACCCACAACCTCCGGAAAACCAGGCGAGCTAGTTAACATCTTGCCACAAATGCACCACCTGTGTTCCCCACTGCGTACTGGATCACACGCACGTGAACATGAACACTTGATCTCACACAAAGACAAAGATCCCCTTCATAACCTGAACAGACTGTCGGGGCAAGTGCTGTTATAACGAGCACTATGAAGGCCGGCACAGCGCACGAGGGGGTGGGTGGCCAGCAACACGCCCGGCCAGCGGCAATGTTCCTACGCACCCAGGTACTCATCTAAGGCCGAGTAGAACTAGGGGAGGCCCAGGACATACACACGCACAAACTGGCTCACCTGCCCTTCCACGGAGGCGAGTGCCCGTTGAGGGAGCCCGACGTCCCGGCCGCGGCGATGGGGGCCGACTGCCCCCCGCACACCGCGGGGGTCAGGGAGAGGGGGGCGCGCGCGGGGCCCCCCAGCGGAGGCCTCCCTCCCGGCGACGGCTCGGCGGCTCCGTTGCGGTGGTTGGGGGGGGGCGCCCCCCCCCCTCCTACGGCGGCGGCGGCGCCGGAGCCGCCGAGCCGATCGCAGCCGCCCTCCCGCCACACCTCGCCGCCTGAGAGTGCCCCTGGCGAACAACAACGCACGCACACAGTGGGGGGGGGGGGGGGGGCTAGGCTCATGACCACCGCCACAACGACAACGGTGCGTGGCAGCGGTGGGGGGGGTGCTGCGGTGGCCTGAATGTTCTGCCCCCGTTCTTTAGCGCGTGTCTGTGTGTGTGTGTGGGAAGCGGTGGTGTGGCGGTTAGCGCGCTGGTGGTTGTGGTGGAGTGTGGTGGCGGTGGTGGTGGTTGTTGTGGTGGTGTGTGCCGGGCCTGGTACCGGACACCCACCACCTCATCGTGTGCTGTAACCGGCCTTCGTAGGTGCTCCTCGCTAACGGCACTTGCCCCAACAGTCTGTCGAAGACTATTTGGGTGAGCTTTGTCTTTAGGGGGAGCGGTGGTGTAGTGGTTAGCGCTACGCTGCGCTACGAACCCGGCGAGCCGAGTTCGATTCCCGCTCACGGCCAACACCGGTGACGATTATCTGAACCGGTCCTGGGCCTCCCCTAGGTCGACTCAGCCTCAAATGAGTACCTGGTGCGGTGTGTAAACATCGTCACTGGGGAGACAAAGGCGGCCGGGCGTGTTGCTGGCAACCCACCCCCTCGTGTGCCGTGCCGGCATTCATAGGTGCTCGCGAACAGCACTTGCCCCTACAGACTATTTGGGGCAAGTGCTGTTCGCGAGTATGACTTATGAGTGCAGGCATTGTGGTGGGTAGCCACCACAATGCCCGGCCGCCTTTGTCTCCCCAGTGGCGATGTTTTACGCACCCCACCGGTCACTTATTTAAGGCCGAGTATACCTAGGGGAGGCCCAGACCCAGTTCAAATATTTGCCACCGTTATCGGTCGTGAGCGGGAATCGAACTCGAGTCGCCGGGTTTGAAGCGCGGCACGCTAACCGCTGCGCCACCGCTCATTCCTTGCACTTGGGCCCGTGCCAACCGCGCTTCCCACAAAACCCCCGACCTCCCGCAACCCGTTAAACCTCCCGACCACCGACCCAACTCACCCTGAGACTGGCTCTGCCGCTGCACGCTCAGCAGATGCTGCTGCAGTAGCAGCTGCTGCGTGAGCGAGGATCCCGAGGACGGCACCTGCGGGGAGACGGACGGCGTCGGTAAAGAGCGACGCACGCCGACGGACGTTGCTCGTGCGTGCACGTACGTGTGTGCATACGTGTGTGCGTACGTGTGTAGGTACGTGTGTAGGTACGTGTGTGGGTACGTGCGTGCGTACATGTGTGGGTACGTGCGTGCACGTACGTGTGTGCGTACGTGTGCATACATGTGTGGGTACGTGCGTGCGTACGTGCGAACGTGTGTGCGTACGTGCGTGCACGTACGTGTGTGTGTACGTGTGTGCGTACATGTGTGCGTACGTGCGTGCACATATGTGTGTGCATACGTGTGTGCGTACGTGTGTGCGTACGTGTGTGCGTACGTAGGTGTTCGCCAATAGCACTTTCCCCAATAGTCTGTTAAGGCTATACGGGGGATCTTTATGTCTTTGTGTGCACGTGTGTGCGTGCGTGCACGTGTGTGCGTGCGTGTGTGTAAGATCCAGTGTGCGTGTTCTCACGCACGTGTGTCGGCGTCTGTACGCACGTGCGTGCGCGTACGTGCATGCGTACAAGCGGTGTCAAGATCGGCCTCTGTGGAAGAGGTTCGTGAAGGACGCTGCTACTGCGCAGTTGGAGGAAGCCGCCCTCCTCCAACAACAATCGAGAGCAGAGGAGTGACGCTTGGCACAGTAGGGGGCACAGGTGGTGCGCATCGGCCTGTCATCTCAGTCAGTCAACCCACGGCACCCGGATCTGTCCCGTGACCTCCTGCCAGCGAGCATGTGACACTTCACGTGGCCTCAAAGTGCACCTGGCCTGGCACAGACGCTGCGGTGATGTCACCGCCACTCAGTGGCAAGCGGTGGATGTTGTCGTTGTTGTACCTTTATGTGTGTGTGTGTGTACGCGCGCGCGTATGTATCTGTGTGCGCGTGTCAGATGAAGTCCACGAGTCCTCGTGTGTGCAGCTGCGTGTGTACGAGCGCGTCTACCTGTGTACGTCTGTGTACCTGTGCACGTCTGTGTACCTGTGCACGTCTGTGTACCTGTGCACGTCTGTGTACCTGTGCACGTCTGTGTACCTGTATACGTCTGTGTACCTGTGCACGTCTGTGTACCTGTGCACGTCTGTGTACCTGTGTACGTCTGTGTACCTGTGCACGTCTGTGTACCTGTGCACGTCTGTGTACCTGTGCACGTCTGTGTACCTGTGCACGTCTGTGTACGCGCCTCCGTGTGCGCGCACGTATATGTGTGCGTGTCAGATGAGGTCCACTAGTTCTCACGAGTGTGTGCAGCCGTGTGCGTGCGCGTGTACCCCATGCACGCGCGCGCGTGTACGTGTGTACGTGCGCGTGTGTACGTGCGCGTGTGTACGTGCGTGTGTGTACGTGTGCGTGTGTGTACGTGTGCGTGTGTGTGTCTGCGTGTTGGTGGTGCCGCCACCTCGCACAGGCTGCCATCCTGCCAGCTGCGTGAGATCTGAGCCGACAGCTGCTCCTGCTGCCGCTTGTAGAACTCCTGCAGCTGTTGCTGTCGCACAAAGACAAAGATCCCCCGTGTAGCCCACACACACTGCTGGGGGGGGGGGGGCAAGCCCTGCTAGGCGGGCAACTATGAAGGCCGGCACGGTGCGCCTATGCCCACGAGGGGGTGGTGCGACGGCCGCGTTACAAAGTTTACCATTTTTATTTAATTACTTCACCAGGTAAAGCTATGCAGCTCTTCTTCAGAAGTGACCTGGCCACAGATGTTGGTTCAACGAATTGACTCATCATGTGGAAATGCATAGCAAGCATCAGGGTCGGCCGATCGAACCGACGACCTCCTGCACACCAGGCGAGATAGTGAATATCTCTCGCTCACGCAGCGCTTAGCAGCTCCTCCGCCAGACCGTTCGCCATCTCTCGCGATAGCGCGACGGAATAATCCACGAGCTGACGATGAGCCCCATTCCCCGTGGCTGCCACTCCGTAGTTACTCTGAACCGCCGGTCCGCCGCCCAAGCGGACCGGCGAGACAAAGACGGCTGGGCGGGCGGGGGCTGGGGGGGGGGGGGTGGTGATCGTAGGGCGCGTGCGACCGACGGCGCCAACCTGCTGCAGTAGGAGCGCCTGCTGCTGCTGCTGGAGCAGAGCCGCCAGCTGCTGGGAGGAGAGCAGCGGCTGCTGCAGCATCTGGCTTCCCAGCACGGCCATAGACACGGGCACCTGGGCAGCGAGCGCACGGACACCACGCGGGCATGGCGAGGGAGACGCTCAGGCAGAGACAAAGATTTCCCCCACCCGTGCAGCCTCAACAGACTGCCGGGGCAAGTGCTGTCAGCGGGCATCTGTGAAGGGCGGCACGGCACGCGACGGGGTCGGTGTGGCCAGCGCCACGCCCGGCCGCCTTTGTCTCCCCAGTGGAGTCGTTTGCACGCCATGCCAGGTACTCATTTGAGGACGAATCTATCTAGGGCAGGTCCAGGACCGGTTAAAATATTCTCCACTGTGGTGATTTTTATACACCGCACCAGGCAATCATTCGAGTTGATTATTTCAAAGTGGGATCGGTTCGTAAAATTATCGCTTGTGTCCGTGGCCGCGATCGGAAATCAAACTCGAGTCGCCGGGTTCGTGGCGCAGTGCGCCGACCGCTACACTACCGCTCCCAACAAAGAACACACACACACCCATCCATCTGCATACACACATACACACATAGACACACGCACAAGCTCAGCCACAGATGTGTTTGTGCAAACACACGCCAACCCCAACACAGAAGATGGACACCAGGTGGACACCAGATGGACAACAACAATAGCCGCCACTCGCCACAAAGCGACGGTGACTTCACCCTCACCCTTGTGCCGGGCTAGATGCACCATAAAGTGTGAGAGCAGGCGTTCACATGGACAAACCCAGGTGCCACGGGTTGACCGACTCAGATGACTGACAGGTGTATGGCCCGAGCTCCCCGCTGGTCACAACAACGAGCGGAGCGCCGGGAGGGGGGGGGTGGCGGCCAAAATACAGCGAAGGTGGCAACCGCCAGAAGATGGACACCGCAGGATGGACACGAGGGGGAATGCCGAGCAGAAGATTGATGGCAGAAGACAGACAACACACAGGAAGGGCACTGGAGGATGGACGTTAGCGTGAGGAAGTCCCCATTGTTCACTCGCCATGGGCGACACAATGACATCGCGTCTCGGGCAGGGGAGGGGGGGGGAAGGCGGAGGTGGGGGGGGAAGGAAGTCAACGCCCAACAGACTGATACTGAAACACACACTCAACAACAACACTCACTCTCACACACTCACTCTCTAAGCTATTTTTATTTTACCAGGTAAGGCTCACAGAGCTACTGTGTTGGCTCTTTTTCGGAAGCCACCTGGCCAGCCACAAAATGATAGCCCAATGAAGCGGTTTATCACGTGGAAATGTATTGCGGCGAAATACTGGAAAATCATGTTTCTAAATGTGGAGGGAGAAAAATCCGCGTGACCACGGGAAGAGAGAAACACGCAAACTCAAAACACACAGCAGCAGGCGTCCGGGCCGGGACTGATCCCACCGTCTCACCCCCGTGGCACTCTCACACTCTCAGACAAAGATCCCCCACGTAGCCTTTAACAGATTCTTTTGGGGCAAGTGCTGTGAGCGAGCATCTATGAAGCCAGGCACGGCGCGCAAGGGGGTGGTGGGGGTGGCCAATACCACGCCTGGCCGCCAAGGACCGACCGGTTTCGATATTCTTCACCAATGTTGGCCGTCAGCAGGAATTGAACTCGGGTCACCGGGCTCGTAGTGCAGTGCACTAGCCCCTGCGCCACCACTCCCCACACACACACACACACAAAAGACAAAGATCCCCTGTACAGCCTCAACAGACTGTTGGGGCAAGTGCTGTTAGCGAGCACCTATGAAGGCGGGCACGGCACACGAGAAAGTTGGGTGGCCAGCGCCACTCCCGGCGGCCTTTGTCCCCCCAGTGGCGATGTTTACTACACACCGCACCAGGTACTCATTTGAGGCGGAATCGACCTAGCGGAGGCCCGGTACCGGTTCAGATAACCGTCACAGTTGTTGACCGCGAGCGGGGGGGGTTGAACCCCCTTGTCGGCCGAGTTCAAAGCGCAAGCGCCGTTCACCGCTACTCGACCGCTGCCCACCACCACCACCACCTCGTCCACCCCCGTCGTGCTCCTCCTCCGTGCGGACGTTCACCTCGGGCAGGAAGGGGGCGTCGCCGTTGGTGATGGACAGCTCGGCGACGCAGTTCTCGGCTCGCCGCGCCGCCTCGCCCGCCGCCTCTTGATTGGCCGCCGGGAGACCACCTGACCCTTGCATCATCACTTCGCTTCCTGCGGCGAGAGAGGTGGACACGGGGAGAGAGAGAGAGAGATAGAGAGACGCGTCAGCGGCGGAGGGAGTGGGACAGAGACGGGGGCAGCTGCGGCGGAGGAACGGGCGATTTGGCGTCAGTCAAATTTTGCCGTCGTCCGCTGTGCGATCGGCGTCGCGTCGTCACGGGGCGGAGAGAATCCCTTCGGAAAATAAACGACGACGTCAACTCGTAGCGCTCGCGCGGGAGTCCTTCGCTCTCGTACACACAGCGAGAGACAGAGAGAGAGAGAGAGAGAGGACGACTCGGGAGGCGCCAGGAGGAGGGGCTGCAGACGAGCGGGAAGTCAGCGGCAGCAGTTGAATCATTTGGCGGGACCCCCGGGGTCCCGCAACAATCGGGTCAATAATAATTATTTTTCTTCAGTCCGCCCCGCTCGTGACCCCGACAGCAACGCGCCGCCCGCCCAGACTCGCCGCGCCAACAAGCGCCGGCAGCAGCAGCAGCAGGCGGCGATCGACACGATGGGCGCCACCCCCACCGGCCAAACGCGAGCCCCGGGGGGCGTCCGCCGCGGTCGCGCGCGGCGACGACGCCCTCCGGTCAGCCGTCGATCCTCAGCTTCTTTGCCGAGGCGAGCCCCGCCCCCCCAGGCGGTGCATTTAACGTGTTTGTGTAATTTTTCAACTTTTTACGAAACTCAGTGTCCCCGAGTAGCTCTCGACGAGGCCAATCGATTGACCACTAGTTTTGTTGTCGGTAAGGCGACAAGACTCGTGTCGCTACGCGGTTTTTCCCACCCCGGGGGCAGTGATGGGACCCTGGGGTCCCGCCAATTGCTTCATTTGCGACGATGAGCCAGTGCCAACAACAATTGCCCAAGCTCTGCGGTCCTCTATGGGTGTTACGGTGTTATCGCTCAAATTCATCAGCGTTTACAAGTGGAAGGGAACCGGGAGGCACTCGGAGAAACCCAACGCCTGCGAGGGGGGGTGGGAAACACTCGATCCCGTACAGATGGAACATGTGGAGTCCACAAAGCTCGCAGAAGTGACTATCAAAGAGCTACTTCGTTCTCATAGCGGCCTCTGGTTCCCACAGCGAAGGATCGAAGTTTCCCACCCGCCCCGTGTATGAAAGTAAGGTTCGTCCCATCACAGTGCAAGCGATATTTACATTCTCAGAGCCGTAACGTCAGCCAAATTAAGTGCAGAACTACATTCAATGTGATGGCTTTTTGCGCGGTCATTGGTGACCGGGGCTGCGACCATCAGCTCACCACACTAGAGAACCCGGTTTAATCATGGCAATGTGTGTCATAAAAAGACAAAGATCCCCCGTGTAGCCTTCACAGACTGTAGGGGCAAGTGCCGTTAGCGAGTAGCGCCTACGAAGGCCGGCACGGCACACGAGGGGGTGGGTGGCCAAAACAACACGCCCGGCCGCCTTTGTCTCCCCAGTGGTGATGTTTACACCGCACCAGGTACTCATTTGAGGCTGAGTGGACCTAGGGGAGGCCCAGGACCGGTTCAGATAATCGTCACCGGTGTTGGCCATGAGTGGGAATCGAACACCGCAACCACCACACACCACCACAATCACCACCGCCGCCACCACCGCCACACACCACAACCACCACCACACACCATAACCACCACCACCACCACACAGCACACCACAACCACCATGCACGCACGTGGCACCCACACCTAATCGCGCACCACATGTACACCAGGCGGTGGCCAGACCCCCACGTGCAGTGAACGGTGCCCACGAGCCAACTCCACCACGGCCCAACTACAGCAGCAGTGACAGGGTTGTGATTATGGCTGTGATGCTTGTGACGATGGTTGTGATGTTTGTGATGTTGGTGGTTGGCATAGCAGGGGGCACAGATGGTGCATCGGCCAGTCATCTCAGTCGGTCAACCCGTGGCACCTGGGTCTGCCCCGTGACCTCCTGCCAGCGGGCGTTCGACGCTTCACGTGGCCTCAGCGTGCACCTAGCCTGGCACAAGCGCCGTGGTGACATCACCGCTACTTAGTGGCGAATGGCGGTTGTTGTTTTTGATGTTGGTTATGATGTTGGTGATGATGTTGGTTGTGATAATGGTTGTGATGATGGTTGTTATGGCTGTTGATGTTGGTTGTTATGGTTGTGATGTTGATGATGGTGGTGATGTTGCTTATTATGGTTGTGATGTTGGTGATGATGGTGGCGGTGTTGGTTGTGATGTAGTGGTGATGATGGTGGTGATGTTCGTTGTTATGGTTGTGATGTTGGTGGCGATGTTTGTTTTATTTATTAGTGGTGGTGATGATGGTAGTGATGTTGTTAGTGGTGGTTATGTTAGTTGTGATGTTGGTTGTGATGTTGGTTATGGTTGAGATGTTGGTTATGAATGTGATGTTCGTGGTAATGATGGTGGTGGTGATGTTGGTTGCGATGGTGGTGGTGATGTTGGTTGCGATGGTGGTAGTGATGTTTGTGATGGTTGTGATGTTGTTTATGGATGTGATGTTGTTGGTAATGATGGTGGTGATGGTGATGTTGGTTGCGATGTTGGTGGTGATGTTTGTGATGGTTGTGATATTGGTTACGGATGTGATGTTGGTGGTAATGTTGGTGGTAATGTTGGTGGTAATGATGGTGGTGATGATGTTGGTTGCGATGTTTATGATGGATGTGATGTTGGTGGTGATGTTTATGATGGATGTGATGTTGATGGTGATGTTGGTTGCGATGTTGGTGGTGATGTTTGTGATGGATGTGATGTTGGTGGTGATGTTGGTTGCGATGTTGGTGGTGATGTTAGTGATGTTTGTGATGTTGGTGGTGATGCTAGTTGCGATGTTGGTGGTGATGTTTGTGATGGATGTGATGTTGGTGGTGATGTTGGTTGCCATGTTGGTGGTGATGTTTGTGATGGATGTGATGTTGGTGATGATGTTGGTTGCGATGTTGGTGGTGATGTTTGTGATGTTGGTGGTGATGTTGGTGGTGATGTTGGTTGCGATGTTGGTGGTGATGTTTGTGATGTTGGTGGTGATGTTGGTTGCGATGTTGGTGGTGATGTTAGTGATGGATGTGATGTTGGTGGTGATGTTGGTTGCGATGTTGGTGGTGATGTTTGTGATGGATGTGATGTTGGTGATGATGTTGGTTGCGATGTTGGTGGTGATGTTTGTGATGTTGGTGGTGATGTTGGTGGTGATGTTGGTTGCGATGTTGGTGGTGATGTTTGTGATGTTTGTGATGTTGGTGGTGATGTTGGTTGCGATGTTGGTGGTGATGTTTGTGCCTCGGGAGACATTTGGCTGTGACTCCAACTCCCCCACCCTCCCCTCGGCGTTGTTTACACAAAGTAAAGAACGATAACAACCACAGCGGCCGCAACCACACACACGCGAACACACACGCGTACACACTCACACACACGCGAACACACACGCGTACACACTCACACACACGCGAACACGCACGCGTACACACTCACACACGCGAACACGCACGCGTACACACTCACACACAGACAAAACACACACACGCGCACACTCACACACACACGCGTACACACACACATGCACATTCACACACACACGCGTACACACACGCATACACACACAGACAAAACACACACAGATAAAACACACACACACGTGCACACTCACACACACACGCGTACACACACACACGCATACACACAGACAAAACACACACACACGTGCACACACACACGCGTACACACACGCATACACACAGACAAAACACACACACGTGCACACTCACACGCGTACACACACACACTCATACACACAGACAAAACACACACACGTGCACACTCACACACACACGCGTACACACACACACGCGCATACACACAAAGACAAAACACACACACGTGCACACTCACACACACACGCGTACACACACACATAGACAAAACACACACACGTGCACACTCACACACATACGCGTACACACACACAGACAAAACACACACACGTGCACACTCACACATACGCGTACACACTCACACAAACGCGCATAGACACACAGGCAAAACAAACACACATACGCGTACACACTCACACACACGTACACACTCACACACACGTGTACACACACAGACAAAACACACACACACACTCACACACACAGACAGACAAAACACACACACGTGCGCACTAACACACGTAGACATGCATACAGAGACAAAAACACACACGTACACACACGTACCCAAGTACACACATACACACACCGACAATACACGCACACATTTACATGTACACACACACACGTACACGCGTGGGCACACAGCGTTGGTGTACGGTGCTATTTCAGGAATATTTTGATGTTTTTTTTCCTGGATTTTCTGTTTGCACATGCACAAAGTCACTTTAAGATGTTTTTCTTGTTCAGGTTTTTTTGTTTGTTGCGGTTGCACCCGATTCAAGAGCCGAATGGCTCACAGGGCTATACCAAATAAATTAAACTATGAAACTAACTAAACTATGAAACATGAACACAAGGGTCCCCGTATAACCTTTAACAGACTAGCGTCAAGTGCTGTTAGTGCTTCGTCTCCCTGGTGCTGGTGGTTTACACGCTGCGCTGGGTGCTAGTTTGAGGCTGAGTCGACCTAGGGGAGGCCCAGGACCGGTTTAACTGTTGAAGGTCATGAGCGATCACTTTTTGATTCGTAGCGCAATGCACTAACCCGGCCACACGCACACACGCACACACACGCGTGCACACATACACACACCCTAGACAAACACACAGGCACCCTCCAAAAAACACACGCCCACTCAAACACAAAAACAACAACAGCAGTGGCCAGAGCTTCAACAACAACCAACACCCGTCACCACATTCTTGCATGTGGCAGACTTTAACCTCAGTCAAAATCCTAACCAGACCCTGACTCAAACTCTCAACCAGACCAACTGCTGTCTAAACCACGACTCAAACTCTCTACTAGACCCATCGCTGTCTAAACCACGACTCAAACTC